ATACAAGGAAATACCTTGTTATTTCCGTAGCCCATGTCTCCTGATAGCTATTACCACCCTGCTATGTGTTACAAAAATAGGGAATTTGATTGAGGAGTGAATACCCAGTTAAGGTACTTAAGGTTTGGGTCTCTTTTTTCATTACTGCTTACAATGGTTGATTCACAATCAAAGCATTAAATGAGCATGTAATGGGGAATTCTCCTTAAAGAGTCCATGTAGAAAATAAGCCTGAGGGGCAAACTCTGTTTTCTGTCATAGAGAGATAAATTGAGAGGAGCACTACCAAAGTGAATGGAAGTAGCTCCCGTTAAAATCACCATCATGATAGTAGGGAAAAACCTTATATTGGATGTTATCAAAATCTTAACTTTCTTTTTGCTTTCTGACACACACAGATATTTTGCTGCTTACCCCAACTTTACCATTCCAAAATACAGGCTTCATTGGAAGGAATGAGCCCAGAAAAGTTGTTCTGTTTTCAGATTCTGCTTAAGGACGGACTGTAGATAGCTTTTAAGTACCTATAAAATGAGAAAGGTAAATGATAGTAGCCAACTTTAACAGAGAAAGCAGACACAGCATCTAGGAGGTACTGATGGAGCTTTGTTCTGCTATGGATTTGTTACTATGTATTTGACTCAGTGTTTGACAAGGCGACAGCATGGCTGAGGTTAAATGGGACCTGTAGAGGTCTATTGGTCCAACACCACTGCTCAAGGAGGGCCACCTAGAGCCAGTTGCTCAGGACCATCCCAAGGATGCCTCTTGTGCCAGTTCTTGATCACCTTCACTGTGAAAGGATTCCAAGCCCACAAACAAGAAACTTGATGCATATCTTGAGGTAACTGTTGTAATGATTTCCCAATACACAGATGGGGTCAAAGAGGCAAAGTGACCATTGGCTGCATGGCAAGGGATCACAAGCACTAGAAATGGCAAAGCACTATTGTCCTGAGGTTTTGCCTGGATACTCTTCCCAAGTCTGCTCCTGATACTGCAGTGAAGTATTCAGAAGTGCTCCTGAACCAGGGTAGAACAGTGGGTGGGAAGCTTAATGATGCCTGTTTCATGTGTCTGGCAACTGGGTAAACTGATCACCCACCAAAAGGCTATTTCATAATCCATCCTCTCCCTTCTGTACACTGGGAAAGAAGATGATGAGGAAGATGTTTGCAAAGATAGGGTGATGGGAGCACACTTTGCTGCGCTGACCGTGACCTGACAACTGTATGAAATATGAAATGGGTTCATACACGATCATGTTTTGGTGAAGTTGCATTTTTAGGGCACAGATGTTTTGCTTCCACACGTTATTGTTGGGCAATAAAATGTTAGATGATCAAAAATTTATATTTAATAAAACCAAAGCAAACAGAAACCCCCCAAACATTCCATCTTTTAGCCTGTGTGATTTCCCCCTCCCCATGTGTTGGTTTCTGAGCCTTTAAGGAGTAAGTTGGAAAACTGTCTGGTCTTCTCAGTGCACAAATCCTATTGACTTAGAAGGGAATTATTTCCTCCCTAAGCTTTTTCTGGAGTACCAGGGTTTGAGGTTCTCCAGTGATCCACTGATGCCAGACACGGGGGCTAAATGAGATGCTGCATCTCATAGAGGCAGGCAGCACTCTGTAAGCACGTACTGCTGTGTCTGCTTTTTTGCACATGGCTGTTAGCATGCAGAGGGATGCTCCATGTGGCCAGGGTCAATGCAGCAGTGCAGGATAGGTACTGGAGGATGTTTTGGGTGTGGTTTTGCAGAAGATTCCTTAAATAGTTTAGCATACTTGGGTTAGTGATGAGGTCTTCAGAAGTGCTCAGGGACTCTCCCAAAAGGCTATGCAAATCACATTTTTACCACTTAAAATTAAACTGAGCTGTGGTGAGGGTTTGAAGATGCAGATTAGGTAATGGTATACCCAGTGGGGTAATAGTGAATATTCTCCTCATTTTACACTGAGTTGTAATTATAATTGTAAACTGTGTTTTAACTTGAGTTAGATCTTTATTTATGCCAGTACTGAAGATAAGCATGATAAATTCACTCCCTTACATGCATGAGCACAGTTTGGTGGGTTGTGCAGACTCTGCTAACGGTAGTATCAGGGCAGAAAAGCTCAGAAGAGCAGTAAATGTGATTATTATTAATTTAGGACTCACATGAGATAAATTCACTGTATCTGCTGTACTACTGTAATGATGTACTGTATTAGTACATTGACAGTGTACTGCATCTTACACAAAGTTACCTGGTGGTTTCTTCCATTTTCAAGCAATTGATTCACCTGCAAATTCATAAACCGATGCAGCAGATTTCCCTGGGACAACCAGAATGTCTGTGCTTCCTTTTAGCAAATGCATTGTATGGTTACAGGGAACTTGAAAGCTGTGAATGTGGAGCTTGCACTGACTTCCGTCAGAGAGCTAGACACAAACCTTTACAGATTCAACCTCTTCTCTACCTAAATGATGAGAGCATTTGGTTCCACTTAATGGTTTTAAGCTATTTGCCATCTGCATCCTACTAATAATACATTTGTTGCTATAGATCTTAAAAAAGGCAGTAAAAAGTATTGAAGAAAAGAGCACAAATGTGTGTAAACATCGCTATTCTTTATAAGAAGTTGCATTTATTTCAACTGACATTTAAGGGAGGCCTTCCTGAAGTTATTTGTTGCTATGCATCTTATTCCTCACCTGAGAGTTATCCCTCAGGCTTTGTATCCTTATTAACCGAGCTTGTCTTGATAACTACAGCCTCATTGGCAGTGGTGACCCGGAACTGCAGGGACAATGGGGAGGGCAGGACCTTCTCATGGTGGTGGTGTTACCACGATGCTCGGTAACACTCTGCACCTTTCCAGAGCCTCTGCCCAAGCAAACTTCTTTTCCCAACTGGACATTAATCACCACCTGATTAATTTTATTCACAGGCACATACAGGATCATTAGTTGAGGCTTGTGCCTTGTTCTTGTGCTTCTCCTTTTGCCTGCTGTCAAGTGGAAACATCTTATAAATAGTAAATGAAGTGGAAATGGGATTTAAAAGTTAAAGTAACTCCATGAAGTATTAAAGCTGTGTTGCTGTGTAACTAAGTTAGGGGAGACATTTTCCCAAATTGCTTTTTCAAGCTTTTTTTTCTCTAATTTTTGATGACTTTTTTTTTCCCTCTCTGCACGTTAAAATCCCAGTAGTTTATTGCACTTGGCATACAGTGTATTAGATGCTCAGCACATAGTTCACAGCTATAGATTTATGCACTGATAGTATAATTGCAGAAATTGTGCTTGTGCTTCAGGATGCAAACCTCAGCTGGTGCTGAGGAAATGTCAAAAATCATCCACTGAGTTCGAGAGCTGTGTGGAGAGCCGTGTTTCATTTGGCTTGCTCAAAGGAAGGCTAGTAGGGCATCTGGACGGTCTTTCCTGCGTTGGGCTCTGTACCTGTTAGCACCTACAGATGATGGACAAAGGTTTCCTGAATGCTCCGAATCCTTGGAAATGGGGCTGGTTTGTTCTGTCACTTTGTCAGAAGAAAGCAAATTGTGAGCAGAAGTGGGAGTCCCTCAAATTCACACAGAAAGAGGGGCGGGAGAGCTTCTGTCTCTCAGTGTGGTATTTCTACCAGTTCATTACAAATGTTTTCTGCACATCTGACAATGAATTGGAATGGACTGTAATTAGGGTGTGAATATGCGCTGTGTTGTGATTTCACATCAATTGCGAATTAGTTAAGTGCAAATCTGAATGCTTTGACAACAAAATGGTGGCTGATTTACAGATCTGGTCGGATTTTTCCTTTCTGAAATAAGACAAAGCAGAGGGCTTTGAGGCTTTGCAGAGGGCTTTTATTTACAAAGGCACTGATGTCTGTAAATTCCACCCTTTGATTTCTTCACATTTGGTCCATTAATGTCAGGGGATGTTTTGTGCCTTGTTTATGTAGGTCTGTAGACAAGAGCATCTGCCGCCAGGACTGCTGTTAGCAGCTCCTTCAGCGCAGAGGACAGAGTTTGTGTTCCCTGATAGGAACCTCACAGCACGACACAGGGTATTACTGCTTTTAAAAACCAGCCTGTGCCTTGGCAGCCCCTCAGTTGGTTGAGAGCAATGTTTGAATCCCAGCTCAACTCTCGAGGCCCCTGGTCTGCTTCTTGGCATCGTTGGGGCTTAAAACGTGACAGGTTTGGCTCTGGGGGTGGTGCAGACAGGAGTGGTATTTATTGACAGCCACAAAGCATTGGCAGTGACCAGCTTGGTGACAACAGATACTTCTTAAAACTTGCTTTTCTGTGCCAGGTTAGGTGCCGTGAGGTGCTGCGTTTTGCACAATGTGAGAATGTGGAACCAGCATCCCGGCATCTTCCGAACCTGACACGCTTCAACCTCTTAAGCAGTGGGGTTTGGCTTAAAATCAAGTGGATAAATGAATGAATGTCTGGATGGGTTTAACTCAGTGAACTGTTTGATACTCTGTGATTGTTCTGGAGTGTTCTCTTTGCTTCATGGTGATAATAGTTGTTTAAGCAATACGCCATCAGTCCCTCCCATTACCGGTTGTGTTTATTAGAAGTGAGGGAACTTTAGGGTTTGTGTTAAGATTTCTCTCCGGTTTTCCTTACTTTCAAAGGTGGACAGGCTTCCCTTGCAGCAGTGTTGCTGGAGGCCACAGCTACCGAAGGAAGCAAATTAACATGCAGTATGTTAATTTGTTTTCCCTGTCCTTCAGTCGCAGTGAGGAGAGTCTAAATATTTCAGTGACCGAGACTTTGGATTCCTGCTCCTTGCTACACAACAACAACAAAAGCTATTTATAGCAATAACAGTTAGCAGCGATACAGCAGCCTCAGACAGCGACAGGCAGCGTCTCACCATGACCGCGACTGTTAACTGCTTTTGCACTGAATGCCTCTGTGAAAACAAAAGAGCACTGAGAAATAAAGGTCAAAGCGAAACCAAAAGAAAGATTTTTTTATTGCTATGTTTTACTTTGCTGGCAGACCAGAGCAAAGGTTTTCTGAACATTTAAAAGATGAAAAAGGTGAAGAATCCCAGAAGCGATTTATCTTGAAGCGAGATAACTCTAGTATTGATAAAGAAGACAATCAGGTTGGTTCTCGGTTCGAGAGTTGCTGCAATTTGTTCTGTTTTCGAAGGTGGGCTGACTGATGTTATTGTTGTTCTTTTGTTGTTGCTCTCCTCCTCCCCTGCTCCCTTCCCGCCTCCTTTGGCATCCGTACCATGGGTAGCACTGAGCCCTGGCGTGGCCGCTTCAGCCGTGGCAGTGTGTGGGTTTGCATGGGTGGTTTGCTTGGCGCAGGATGTGCTGCATGCCAAAGGGATGGGGGAATGCCGGCGGCTCCGGGCTCTGTGGAAGGCTGTGTCAGTCGCGTTTCCCAATGTCTCGCCTAACTATGGCAGTCGTGCCGCTCCCTGCAGCTTCCTCCTTCTGTGGTACCCATGCAGAGATGGATTTCAGTAAGGACTGATGAGAAACTGATGCAGCCCAAAAAAAGGAGAGAGGAACTAAACTCAAATCAAAATCCCCCAAACAAACGTGATGGTGAGGCCAGGCTCATTTGAAAAAAACCAACAAACCCATCCTAAATTAAGCTTTGACCCAAAATCAAGCAGTTTCACCTTTTCGTTCCCTCCCTCCTCCCGTGCTCTCGCCACCTTTTACTGTCTGTGTAACTTAACTTGCTTGTTGTGCATGTACTGTGGCAGACGTTCCCCTCTGTGTTGCCTGTGCTATAACACACCCTTACCTGAGGTGAGCCTGATGAGTAGGGGAGTGCCAGGGAGATGAGTGTGTTTGTGCTGCCTGGAAAAGCGGGTGCTGGGCTGTTCCCATCCAGTGCAAGCTGCCTATGTGGAATATATTAACCCAAAGAACCAATCAAAAAGGGTTTCTTACGTGTATTGCTTTTATGAGAGAAGTCTCACAGGTAAGAAGACAGCCTCTGCTTTCTTTGCTTAGGTTGTGCTGGTGGAGGGAGCTGCCATTGAGTCTCTCATTGCCACGCTCCATGTTTTCAGCAAAGGACTGATTTTTGTTTTCCTTTTTCCTTTCTATTTTTAACTTTTCCCCTTGACTTCCAGTGGTCCAGAGCAGCCTCGCCAGTTGTGCTGCATCCTGTGAAAGCAAACCCCAAGCGTTTTTAGGGTACGGCGAATATGGGCATCAGCCAAAGGAAAGCAACATGACCTCTCTCACGGGGAGCTGGGGTGCAGGGGGAGAAGGAGCAGTGTTGAAACCCAATTGCCAACCAAGTGTTTCTTGCTGAGGGTCCTTCTCTCCCACGGCACAGCCATTTCCTGAGAGGCACAGGCTTTTTGCCCTTCTTTTCCCAACGAGACTGAAGCTGAGGGTTCCTTGCCGTGCGGAAACGGTTGGGAGTGCTGTGCCAAATATCTGGGACTTCTCCTTGTTACACATAGGCTTTGGTGGGTTTCTTCTAGGGTTTGCAGTTTAGCTCTTCCAGCCTAGTTTCCCCTCTTCCCTTCCTTGATCCCACAGATTGCAAGCGTTGCCTGTGCTCCTGCTCCTTGTGGCAGTAGGAGAGCTGAGAAATCTTAGTGGTCGAAGGCACTTAGGCTTGGGGCGAGAACACCCAGTTTTAGGATGGTGGGTCCACCCAAGCCATGCAGGAAGCCTTGTTTTGGCCACCTGGCTGTGTGGACTGGAAGCCCTGGGTGCCCATCCTCGCAGGGTGCTCCGTGCAGGGACTACAGCTACTGTTTCCATGCTTCGTTTGTTTGAGTGAACATTTATTATTCTCAGCTGACAGTTACTTAACGGCAGTTTCTAACAGCTCAACTTATATAATCCTCCTGGTTTTCTTTCTGCTCAGCAAAACAGAATTCTTCCATTTAGAGATGACAGACGAAGTAAATCAATTGAAGAGAGAGAAGAGGAGTATCAGAGAGTGAGGGAGAGAATATTTGCACAAGATGTGAGTAGTTGTTTTAATTGCCTCTTTAGTGCCATACCTTCGCCGGTAGTCAGACAGTCTTGCCCCCCTCCAACACCAACACTGCAGCAGGACCTGCCCTGTGGGGCTGGAGGAGACAGGGAAGGGAGATTGGTGCAGAGGGTCTGAGAGGAGCTTGAGATATGTGGAGGTTGGCTTCTGGAGAAGGAGGTGATGATGAGCGGTGCAGGGAGAAGGGTAGAGGAAAGATCAGGCCCAGCATGTTGTCTGGGGAGTGCCTATCCCGTTTCTTTGACTGTTCATGTTCGTGTGGTCTAGGTTTCCTTCTGTTTGCCTTCTCTTTTGACAGGCAGAGCAGTGATTTAAATGGACACTCTCAATAAAGCAAGGCCATAAAGCAAGGCCAGGTTGGCTGTTGGATGGGGCTCTAGCAACCTGGTCTAGTGGAAGGTGTCCCTGCTCATGGCAGGGGGTTGGAACTGGGTGAGCTCTAAGGTCCCTTCCAAGCCAAACCAGTCTGGGATTCTATGATGTTTGTTTCAAGCTGGATCAGATTTTCTAAGTGTCCTTTTGCATGGGTTTGTTTCTTTGGACCAGTGCTGTAGCACTACAACACTAAGAACAAAGATAAGCCAGAGGTTAAACATGGAGTTGCATGGGGTTTTTATTTAAATGACCAGTTAAGGGGCCATGTTTCTGCCATCAGAGAGTCACATTATTGATTTTGTTTTGAAAGGAATACAGTGAAACAGGCATTCTAATTCCTGCCCTTACCAAACAAATCAGAACATGCACAAGAAGCTATATTGCTAGAGAGAGGAAAACATTTAAATGTGGAACATCTGTGAGCAATACCTCCTGTTCCTGAAAAGGGAAGAAAATCATAGTTTGCTGTAATGTTGTAATGATGGGGTCCTAAAAGGGAAAAAAAACCTTATCATTTTACTGTTTCAGCGGGAGCTCTGCCGCTTAGAGGAATATGGGGATAAACCTGATTAAAACTGTTCCTGAAAATCATATTTGGCAGTGTCCATTTAAATTAAAGCTGTTCGTAGTTGCAGGTCTAATAGTATTGGTTTAGATATCCTTTTCTTTTGCTCTGGTTTTGGAGTGGCACGTGTCCGAGTTCTTTAGCAGAATACATTGCATTGTGTTAAGGTGTGCGTTGTCTGACGTGCGATAAGTAAGCTTGCTGTTTAATAAGTAGCTTGCCCCATCAGAATGGTTTTAGCCTCATTTTTTCTTCCTTGGCTGAGACAATTCCAGTAAAAGCAGAGGCCCTTCAGTTTGTGTTTTGCTTTCAGCACGGGGCTCTGATGTATATATACTGTCACAGTATACATGGTAGAGTTAACTGGGTAGTTCAAGGGCTGTAAAAGCCTTTTTGTAATAAGCTAGAAGCAGCAACTTTCCTGTAGGAAACAGGTTGCAGAGGAGCTTGTGCAAACCCAAGAAATCTTTGGGTTTTAAAGCAGACTTCAAACGAGGCAAAAGGTTGTTTAAAAATGCCAGATGGACAGTTGTTGCCCATACAGTGTAGTTTCTCTCCTAAGCAGCAGCTAGACATGCCAGGCTGGGAAACGGAGGTGGCTAGAACAGTGCTGAAACTCGCTCCACAACGTGAGTGCTGCTGGTTTTATCTTTAGATACTTGAGTTTTAAAGACGGGAGAGCAGTGAGCATTTTCATTGTCTACAGTAGGAGGTCGTTGTGGTCCATTGGGTTGGTATCTCCAAGTGGCAAGACCTAAATAACAGTGTGGTTTGTGGCAAGCATGTCAAGCGCACTGGGAGTGAGCACTTTTAAAGATCAGCACTGTTAGATATCTCTCCCTCTCTCTCTCATATCCACTCATTGAGCTCTCTCTCTGCTATTGCAGGTGTCAGTGAACATCGTAGGGCGATGAATTGCAGCAAGTTATATGAATACTATTAGGAACATATGTCTCAGCTGAGCTGGTTTGAGTGGAGCACTCCCAGATATGCGGTGGTTTTTAAGAGGATGACAGTGGTTGTGGTGGTGGCTTTGTCAGCTTTAGGAAAGAGCGCAATGGCTTCCTATTATAGGTAGCCACTTACTGCATGTAAGGCTTTTTATAGTTGTAAGCCCCTCTGCAATAATTAATCATTCCAGTTCTCCCCAGGTTCCTCTGAGGTAGGTACCTAAGCTTTGTCATCCTGCAAATTATATATGTAGGAAGAGAGGCAAAGAGGGATCAATTACGTGGCATTTTTATTACCTCCATACTGTTTACACTGCCGTAGCCAAGCCTTGATCAGTGCCTTGCTTATGAACCTTAGCAAATGGATTGTAGATATTTCACTTCTAATTAGAGGATGCATGAAGAGAGCTTGCATGAGAGGTCTCCAAAGGGTAACCACAAAGGTCAAGAATACTGCTGTAACATGTTGCACGCAGCCTCCCCTCTCTAAACATGTTCAAGATAGCCAAAACTCCTTGGATTAACGTTATCAGCCCCGGAGTCAGATCCCTGATAAAATTCAGGAGGAAGAGGCACTCTGAGTATGGCCACAAAACCTTCTGTGCATGTTTCAAGTGCTGTGAGAAATGTCTTACCCCGGACCCCACGTCCCAGCCAACAGAAGGCTTGCTTGTCCTGCCTTTGAGTTTGCAGCCCTCGAGTGCATCACACAGCTTCCTTTCCGAGTGGGGAGGTTTTAGCAAAATAAATACGTTCATGAATAATGCCATCATTATGATAGTCCTTATGATGATTAGTCTGATATTAGTTTAAATTACGCTTCCTGGCAAGCTTTCCATCTGCTGTGTTGGCTATCATAAATTCTGATAAGGGGGGCTGGAGGCTTTAATGACTCCTGTCGTGTAGAGTCGTAACAAGCGGCAGGGATCGAGAAGCATGTTAATGGGATATCTTAATAAAAGATTTGGTGAAGAAATAAATAGTTAATAAACGCAATCATTCCAGCTTATTGAAATAAGGTCTACAACACGCACCTCCAGCTTTTCAGGCGCTAATAGTAAAGCAGCACTACATGAGCTCTGTTATGCTCAAAGCTGTTTTCAAGGGTTTCTTTTTTATGTCACAAAGCCTACAACCTTCCTTCTTAAAACACGTTTTTTATTGGAAACTTCGTTTTACAACAGTTCATGAATTTTACAACTAAGTGCGCTGGAACAGAGGAGGTGGAGTACCTGGGTCTTTGCAAAGGAGAAGCTTCTTGTCTGAACTGCTTTAGTTGCTTTGAGCAGGTTGAAAAGTAATTGTCCAAGAAAGACAAAGAACGATCTGAAGGAATAAAAGGTAGATGTTCTTTCCCTCTCTGATAAGTCAAGTTGTAGATTTAACTGAAAATCCCAAATGCGTGTGTAAATGATACACTGCGTTTGGCTTTTAAGCAAGCAGAAAATTGATTCTAAAGACTAGCAATTGGATTATGTGGGGGGAATGTCATTCTTCAAGGTTAACACAGCGCATAACCTCATGAGCCAGAATCACGTAAGGATCATCCACTGGTCATAATTCTATTCTCAAGTCATCATTGTGTATTCACTGAAAAATGACCATGTTTTATAACTTGCACAAACGCTGGAATTGCCCATGGCGCGCATGGGATGTGTTAAAGGGAATACACCATGCTTTTTCCTTTGTCTTGTTAATTGTAATGGCTGGTTTTGATTTAGGAGTGTATTCTGAAGAGCCAGATCCTTAAGACAAAATAATCATGACTCCTCTTCTTAAGAAACCACTGAGGATCTTTATCATGCTCTGATTAAAGAGTTTCAAGAAAGAAATATTTGAAAACATGGCTTCAGCCTTTCCTATCCTTCTAGTAGGAAAAGGTTAGGAAGAAGAAGGTTTAAAATGAATAGAAACAAAACAAAGACATGCCTTGTGTTGGGTACCAGAAACCTATAGGTACTAAAACCCCCTCGCTACTGTACAGAGCCTTTGCTTGTGGTTGCAGAGCAAGCAATAAGCATTAGTCGGAAGCCTGAGATCCATCACATCTTGTTAACTGATGTGAAAATGATTACCTGATGGTATCCAGAGCAGGATATTCCTGCATGTTAATAGTTATCTGTGTTGGTTAACGTCATTAAAACTAAGAGCAGCAACCCCCAGTATACCTAATGCCCTGGCAGAGCTGATGCACCTTTTCCAGTGGAGACTTTAAAAGGTTTTAGGAAACTGGAAGAGTGAAATACTCATCTCATAAATGACAGTCATCCAGAGCACCCGAATGGAAACCGTGCCTGCAGAGGCCTCCAGGGAGGTGAATTTGTAGGTCATCTTGCAAAACTCTGTTCCTTTTGTAGGTTTGTTTCCAGTGTCTTTGAGTATCCAAGAGCCAAGCGTTTGAAGAATGTTTTTTGACTCCAGCTCTCATGCTGGCTACTTAAGCTTTCCTGGTGCTTTAAATTGAGCTCTGTTGATGCTATGGATCAGGAAAGCGAGTCCTGACCTTGTAGTAGCTCAGTTGCTACCCAGAGCTGCTTAGCTAGCTGATATTTAACTGTAAGAATAACATAATAAAGAAGTGCCTGTCTTCTCTGCCTCACACCTGTACAGAAATATAGTTTCCAGGGATGGTGTGGCCCTGTGCCATCAGCATTACTCAGGAAGACAAATGGAGTTATTACAGGCACTGTCTTTAAGTCTGTAATGCAGTTGATAGTGATACCCATTGAGATAGTGAAAAGGGAGCAGACCTCTCCCCTTGCTTGATTGAAGTATAAACCCTAGATATTTATCCTGCTGGTGCCCCAATCCCTATAAAACCTTGGCAAAGAAATCCAGACAGGTGCGTGCCCCTTTGCTTTTGTGACTTTGTGGGAACACAGACCAGTACTCTGGTCTAACGAGAGATTACTTGCTTGTCCTTGAAGAGTAGCTATAGTGCTGCTTTGGAAATGTGACAGCTGTGAAGTCAATGCACAAGTGTCCATCATGAACCTCAAAGTGAAGGCAGCCCCACAGTTGAGGCTGTAGAAGCCCACGGGGTGATTTTGCTGTGCTCATAGGTACTTAAAGTATGCTGAAGTCTGCACAGCCACCTTTGTTCATGAACCCTTGTGAGTAAGGTACATAAAGGGAGAGAAGAGGCAGAGTCGTAGTTGTACAAAGGATTCCAGTGGTTTTAGAGGGAATAGATTGTGTCTCCTCTCGGACTGGGGTGAAACCCTAGGTCTGCTGTTGATGGTGGGAATTTGATCCCTGGGAACGAAGAACTTGCTCCTCGCATCTTAAGGCTTTGTGCTAAGGAGAGACGCACTCGCCACAGATGCTGCCCAGAGCCTTGCATGTTTACTAGGGGTGCAGGGTGGGAGCTCAGCTGGGAAGCCCACTGAGCTGTCAGATGTTCCCTGGTGTGGATCTGGACATGGGGAATTACAGCTTTAATGAGAAACCACATTTCCTTCTCGGAGCTGATTCCCTCCTTATGTGAAGAGATGGGATGGCACTGGCTGTGGTGCCAAGGGGAAACTTTGCCCATCATCTGCTGAGCCCTGGGAATGAGCTTCTGGTGTTGGCTGGTGCTGAGTAGGTCATTAGCTCGCCCTTTCTGAAACAGAAACATTCCTAATCCTTGCATATCCCACACCATTAAAATTTGACACAGCTAATGATGGCATTGTATTATTCTTCCAGCTGAGTCCTGCTGTTACAGAAGTAAAGGGCATGATCTCTGGTGCCCTCCTCCCTTTTGTTTAAAATCAGTGCAAGTACTGATTGTTCTTTCTTCTCTACATCACAGAGATATAATCCAGTGACAGCTACGAGGCACTTTGTGTAGTGAACATGAAATAGGAGGGGAATGAAAAAATCAAAGAGGGAGAATTATTCATGGGAAATTGAGCACAGCTTCATTTCTCCAAATAAAAAACCAAGTAATGCTAAAAGAGTTACGCAGTTGCCCATAGGATTTATTTCTTCCGAGCCCTTCACCTTCCACAGGATCAAATTCCTCCAGCAGAGAACTTGTTTGGAATAGGCTATTATTGATGTTAATATTATTACTAACGTGATTATCACCATTTTGTAGCTCAATGTGGGTACGACTGTTTCCTCTCCAGCTGTAAAATGTGAAAGCACACAGTATTTTCAGTACTGCAGTATCTTCTCTCCCTTTGAAGAGCTTTGTCAGTTCTGCATGCTTTCCTGTTTGTCCTTCCTACCTGCGGCTCTGTGCTCTTCTGCAGTCTCCTTTTGAGGTGGTAGGGCAGACCACTGGAGCCTCATTACGTAGGAAAAGCCTTTTTTCCCCTTTGAATTGCCAGTACTTTGCACACCCCACCTTCTTCTGATCTCAGGAGTGAGCAGGTTCAGTTTGTTTCCAAACTGAGACCCCTCGTTGGCAATGTGTTGTAATGCATGGAGTTTATTTTATTGGCCTGACCTTATTCTTGACCTTTTTTCCCCCACCCCTCTTGTCTTCTGCAAATGCAAATGATGCATGATTTGAAATCCCCTTAAGCCTGAACAGGGGAGGTAATTCTAAACTCAAGGAAAGAATTGGGACAGCAGAGCATATCTAGAACGTCTGATACAATGCCTTTTTTATTTTTCAGTCAGTTTGCTCCCAGGAAAACCTTTTTGTGGAAAACAGGTAAAAAAATAGCTTGCTTTTTTTTTTTTTTTTAATGTTAAATTTAGTTGTTTCTTCTATTATTTTCTCTCTCTCTAGTTCTAGAGTTGTTAATGTGAAGACTGAGCGTATTTGTAATCCGTGTTATCTGCAGTGATTTTTGGGCTGTAAGAGCGGGAGGGAAAGAGATTGCCTTGCAGATTGTATCTGAGCAGATAAGGAGCTACTGCTGCTTTCCCAAGACGGGGTGTTCTGGTTTAGAAAGCAGGTTGTGGGAGGGAGGGGGGAGCCCACCTAAGGTTTCATCTCCAATGCCCACTCTATCTCTGGAGTGCTTTTAGCATTTAACTCACTGATCTTTAAAAAGCACTCTGGCTGATGGTGTGTATGAACCATCGTGCTTGTGTTTCTGCTGTTTAACCTGTTCTCCTGTGGGGCTGAGCAGCAGCACTGATTTCATCTCGTGCTCTTGGAGGTTGCCAAATGCCCCAGACCTGCTTTCCTGCTGCGTTGTAGTAATTATGTAGTAATGAAATGCTGACACCTGACACGCAGTTCCTTCGCATGACTGTGTGGTGGTTCTTATGGATGGGGTTTTTCATTATAATAAATCCACCTAAAGGGAAGAAGAAACTGTTTAAGATCCACAAAATGTGAAGTATTGGGTCCGTGGCAGCCATAAATTAGCTTAACTGCGTTGAAAAGCTTGGAAATTGTGCACCTTTATGGCAAGTAAGGATTTTAACCAAAACACTGGGATTTTTGCTGGCGAGAGTTTGAGCAGTGCTAGCCCAGGTCTGCCCTGTGCAGGTTTTAAAGCTGCTTAGCATCCCCTTTGCAGAAAGGGGGGTTATCTTTTATAGTATTTCTATCTCTGTCCATCCTTACATCTGTCAGATGCATTTATGGATGAGGCTGTTCTCACAGAAATGACTCCACAATAATGGTATAAACCAGCTTTTCCGATGGACAGTCCTGTAAGTGGAATGAGGGAAGGCCCTCAGGAGGTAACGGCCACTATCCTCCAACCAACTCCTGTTCTGAGAGCCAAAGCTATTTCCTCAGCTGCTGCTTCTGTATCATGACTATGGAAATATGTTTTATCAAAACTGGAACAAAGGAAACCAAAAAGTAAAAGGCAGATGCTCCCATAAGCCTCCTTTTCCCGTTCTGGAGAGACTGGGACAGGAAGCATGATGCAGTTATTCCCATTCCCATGTCAGTATGGAAAGTGCTCGGGTACTGCACTGCTGAGGGTAAGGTGGGGACCTTTATGGGATGAACCAGGAACTTCCTAGCCAGCCCTCCACCGGTTTATGCATTCCATCCCACGCCTGCCTGCAGGAGAATGTAGCCAGTCCTGCTGTTTGCATGTGGTTCCTCTTGCTTGAACCTGAGAGCTGGTGTGAGGATGCATACCCGGCGGAGAGCAGTAAAAGGCCAGGATGGAAACTGGGCTGCTGTTACTGCCTGCCCTCTCCTTGTCAAGAGGGATTCTTCAACTGTATTCCTCAGAACACCGCTTTTTCTTGCTGCATGCCTTACAGCCTTTGGCCAGGTGAAGCACTTACATGTGTACTTGGCTCCATGCACGTGAGCAGCCTTGCTGATTTGCTGTGTTGGAAGCGGGGTATGTGTTTAAGTGCTTTGCCTTTCTTTTTCATCAGAGAACCTGAGCACTTCTCTGAGCTGCAGAGGTTTCCAAGTGACTTAGGAAGTGCTTAAGATGATAAATGCACAGTTTTGCTGGTTTGCATTTTTTTATGTTCTTATTGGGTGATAGTTTAATGAATTGTGTTTTGGATGCAGGTGTATGGTTTCTTGGCTTCTGAGCATTACCTTGCTCAGTAACAGGGTATGTTAAATGGCCTTCAGCCTCCCTGGCTGACACGTCTGTGTTCAGTTCACTGTGCACGCTTACGGGGCGTGCAGTTTTAGCCTCGGTTGTTTAAGCTATGAATCTAGCACAAGTTGGAAGATGATGCTAGAAATGAAATACAGCTTTACAGATAAGATCAATTTGAATTGCCATGTCTGTTACCGTAATCTTTCTTTTCGTTTTTCAGTAGGCTGTTGGAAGACAATAGCATATGCAATGATACCCATAAGAAAAGACAGCTTTTTAGGTTTGTATGGCTTTATTTAATATTCAATTCCCAGTAACTCTCACTCATGATTCTGTGTCCTCGCCGAGGGAGGCTCGCACAGGTGGGGGTATGTCAGTTTGCTGGATGGAAAGAAGAATGGACAACAGAAATCTGACCCACGCTCCGTGAATGGGGAGCTCACAACGAGACCCTTTCCTTGGATTTTACAGGTCTTTGGCTCAGGAGCCATATGGGATTTTCAGCTGCTTGGCTGCCACAGTCTGGGGGTGACCGTGACTGGTGGAAGTTCATTTTGCTCTAGTCTATACAGCAGGCACGTTGCACAGACCAGTGCCCAGACTGACCTTTCTTCCTTTCATTGGTTTATTAAAAGCTGAAATAGAAGCAAGAAATTCCCTTCTCTAAAGCAGCAGTGTTTTGAAATGCTTTCTCTGTGAACTTTGTACTCCAAACTCAATTCCTTCTGCCCAGAGAACATTCAGATGTGTCCTGTATCCCAAATTGTGCCCCAAGCCACAGGGAGTTAGCAGGAGTCAGTCCATGTTTTCATGGAGAACTCATGCCGGCCACAGATAGCAGGCAGAAAAACTCTTCTCCATGCGTTTTTGGGCTAGCCTTGGTGATCTGAGAGTCTTGGATTGAGTGTGCAGGATTAAGGAGCCATCTTATGCGCAGACACTCTTAATAACCCGTATCTGCTTGGGTTTGGGGAACAGAAAGGAATTTTGTGTAAGCCCAAACCACTGACAGCTGGGATACAGAAGCATTCTGTTTCTCTTTTCCACTAGGATCTAAGGGCATTGTTAATTTCTAAGCACAAGAAGGACAGTCTGGAAATAATATACTTTGGTTTGGGTTTTTTTTTTATTTTCCAGTGAAATTTTGAAGACAATTTATTTAAAAAAGATTTTTCCTTTATTTTTTTGTGTTGCTGCTTTTGTGCTGTTTCTCTTCCCCACTGTCTGGGTCTAGCAAAGGTCACCAGGTTAATACTGCTGATCCCATCTGTGACGGGCTCTGGTCACAGGCAAGGAACGCGCCAGCCTGATCCCGCCTGTGATACGCTGCTCCTTCGTGTACCAAGTGACAGAGCTTGGCAGGTTCTCCAGTCTTCTAAAAGCCATCCTAAAGCCAGTGTTATTAACATCACTTGGGCTAACAGTGGTGGAGCACTAAGCTGTGGTAGGCATGCTGGTTTTATCTCGGCCGCACATTGCAAGCAGTTCACCTCCACGTTCTACTCACAGTTTACTGTGCTGTTACTCACAGTACACTGGCTGCACCCAGAGATCCTTGCAGCTGCTGTATGCAGAGGAACAGAAAGCAGAAAACCCATCCAACTGGTGGATCTCTAAGTGGAGCATTAGCACAGGCCAGTTTGGGGTCACTCTGGGAAGACACATGGTTAGGGGAAGGCTTTGGATAACTACAGAGCAGATGATGGGTGTGATAGAAGCAAGGAGGATGGATATGAAGACAAAGGGTACAGGGCAGGTGAAGTTAGTGAGAAAAATATAGCAACAGCAAAGGGAGAAGTAGTGAGAGGGTTGCTGAGGGAAGACACTGGCCAGCAGGCAACAGAAACGCTGCATCAGCCCCATGCAGTGGAGTCCTCTTAGGATGTACGCAAAGGGGAAGCAGTGGTAAGTGCTGTGCATGTAAAAGGGTATAGTAGTGTTCACTTGCTGAAGGCAGATGGGTACAGGAGTCAGGTGCCCTATTTCAGGCATGCTTTTGTAAATGCAGAGTATTTCCTTTATTAGTCTCACTGCACGGTACCCAAGGATACGCTTTGCCCTGATACGGTTTTATTGGTGCATAAACCTTTGTTTCCTGGTGTCTGTAGGGGTAACAGGGACAGCATGGGGAAGACATCTGGCAGTCGACAGAGCAGTACAGAGAACGAACTGAAATGGGCAGACCACCAGAGACCGTGGAGCAGCACAGACTCGGACAGCTCAAATCGAAACTTGAAGCCAGCCATAACAAAGACAGCCAGTTTTGGTGGGATAACCGTCCTGACGAGAGGAGATAGCTCATCAAGTAACAGAAGTACCGGCAAACTGTCTAAAACAGGTAGCTAGTACTGTATTGGGTTCACAGGGCTACTTGTTGTGCAGTGATGAATGGCTGTGCTGCTGCTTGCTTGAGTGTGGTGTATCACGGAGTGGTTTGGGTTGGAAGTGACCTTCGGAGATCATCGAGTCCAATGCCCATTGTTTAACTAGATGGTGGCTTACATGAACAGATGCATTCCCTGTGCCTGGCAGATGTGTATGCCTGTATGTCTGTCTATGTGCTCAGCTACCTGGGTACCCGGTATTGAGGTTTTTAGGCATCAAGAAGAAAACTGGTGCCTGAGGTTTGCAGATCATCGGTGAGTTAGGCTTTTCCTGGAGCAGAGTACATACGTGTCTGTTTGATCGCTGTCTTCACTTGTAGCCTGAAAAGGTGGCACTCCTTTCAGACAAAGCACGGAATTCATAACCTGTTTGTTAAGCTTTTTGAATCGTGCGGAATTAAATGTCGTGTATCTGATGAGAAATCCAAGAACGTTTTGTTGTCGCTGCTAAAATTCAGACCAGCTGGATCCTGGAGTACATACAGCCTCTCCCTTGCTGCTGGCGGTGGAGGCAGTGTGCTGCGGTGGGAGCAGGCAGCAGTGCTGGGCTCACAGAGGTCCCCTCATCTCTCGGTTTTCTTGTTTAGTTCCCATTAAATGAAAGCACCATTTCAGGAGACTGGGAACGTGGTGGGAATTCTGCATTTATTTGCATTAACTTCATGGGTACATTAACAGAGGAGTGAGTCACAGGGCTTAGATCAAAGTAACTTCAAGCCATGCCATTAAGCCACTCCATTATATTTATGTGTAGAAGTGCATAATAAATAATGAGCCCATCAGATGATTCCATCAGTTTGGTTCATTTGATGCATATAGTACAGGACAAGTGGTAATCAATACTTAGCACTTAGTGCTTTTCCAGCTTGAGAGTGTTTTATGGACAGTATTTCATTTAAACCCAGTTTATCAAACCTGGGTTGGTCAGATTTCACTCCTGTTCCCAAAGCTGTACAGTGATTTTGCCGTGATTCAGGATGCAGTGGAAGGGATGCTTTATTTTTCAGGATAAATTGATAAAGCTTTTTACTTGGCAACTACATTTTGGACCTCTGTATCTTGAACACAGCTTAAAATTTTATAGAACCATAAAATCGTTTAGGTTAGATGGGTGAATGAATCCCTTGAGTGAATGGACATCCCAGGGTAGCCAGCACTGCTGATAAATGATGGAAAGCAGCTTGGTGAGCACTTCCACCAGCTCCTTTCAGCACCCTAGGATGGATCACATCCAGCCCTATAGACCTGTGTGTGTCTTAAGTGGTGCAGGAGGTTGCTGACCTTATCCTCTTAGATCATGGGGGCTTCATTCAGTCAACCTGTCCATCAGCCTGAGGAAAGTCATAGGAAATAATATCTGAATCACTATTTCTGTCCTTCTCTCTAAAATATGATGGAATTGGCATTAAAGCAGATTAAGAATGACTGTTCAAGAAACAATGGGGAAATATGTCTTGATAATAAAGCGTTCTCTCTTTACTGACAAATGCTGAGTGCATTCAGAGCTGTCAGAGCCCCCACATGCTGTTTGCATATGTTTTCGAAGGTACATTAGGTACCAAGCGATACTTCAGGGTGCATGTTTTGCATTCGATCTTCATTACTCTGTGTTCTGGTTGCAGGCAGCACTGGATGTCCCCAGGCTCACTGCACGTTTAAAGCTTGCTCATGTTTTCATTTTGGAGGATCTTGTTTATGTTCTGCTGTTTTCACTATAGCGGCTGAAATGGGGTTGCAGAAGTGTAGCTACAAATGTTAGCCATGCAGCCCTGGTAGCGTGGCAGAACCTGGTAGGCACCAATTCTGTCCTTGTTCTCCCCTGCAGAAAGTATTAGTCTGATCTCTGAAGGGCTTTATGATTCACAGCAATAAATTTAACACATTTTTGTGTTGCATATCGTATGTATGAAATCAGTCTGAAGTCATGAGTAGGTCAAAATGTTCTTCACTGGCTGAATGATGGCAAATGTGAACATTTGAAATGAGAAAGCTGTTCTGCATACGTGACAGTCATGCAGAAGCATTGACAAGCATCCTTCTTGAGCATGGGAGTACTAAACCTTTCAGGCTTCTCGCAGATGGTGCACAGCTGCCTTAGAGTATATCCAGCGATGCAATGTCAGCATTAATATGTCCATTTTTAATATTTTCACCAAAACTAAATCTTCTGCCCTTAACATCTGATAAATGAGTAATTGATGGTACATAGCAGACAAACAGAAACTGAGGCATAGAAAGATGTTAGCCTTCCCTTAGGCAAAGACTGATCACAGAACATGCTGTTTCCCGCAGTGGTGTCAATTAGTCTTAGACTTTAATTGCATCCAGCTGCTTGGGAATTAGAGCTTAGCAAAGGAATGATGTTGTTTCTTTCTTGCAAACTTCACAAACGTGGCTGTTTGAAACCCATTACATGGTTATCTTACTGGTTCTGATGGTTGCTTTCCTGCACCTGTTGATGGTTTAGAAAGCCTTATTCCACTGCAAATCACAGACCATATAGCTCAAATAAAGTCATCTTTGTTGCTCTGAAGCTCAGTAGGTATGGAGAGATGTTTTGAGCCATAATTCAATATTGAGTGGAGTCTTAATAATTTAACAAATTGCAATCAGATTGCATACACTACAATTTAGGACGTGATAAAAAAACTTGGCTAATTCAGACTTGCAGTAATATAGTAGACTTCCCAGGGCTGACTAAGCATGTCGAGGGGCAAGTGAAGTAGGTGTCCCTGTAGGCATAAAAAATGTCTCTAACTCACCCATAAGAGAAAATCTAGCTCATCAACTCCCATGTTACTGTCGCTGACACATAACAACAGGTTTAATACACATTATTAGGAGGGAAGACATGATGTGTTTCAAAGAAATGTCCTGTTTAATTGATGGAAGACTCAAAAGATGTAACTATTGCATCTTTAGCTTCTCTTAATGTGTTTTCCATTCAGTGGAATGCCCGTCTGTTAGAGCTGGTGTCTTTCCTCCCCATTTACCAAAAGCCGTCTGCACTGGGGCATTAGCTGTGTTGATACAGATCTGTAGGGATCATTAACTTCCTTGGAGGGGCTCCAAGTAATTGGAGCCCCAGTCTAATCTCTCCTGTTAGACGTTCATTGACACTCCTGTTGGGGAAGGACCATTATACGCAGGCATTGCAATATATTAACCCTTTTAGCATTAGCCCGATGGATCTTCTGAGTCAGAGACACTCTAGGAATGTTGATGTATGGGCAATAAAACCCAAGGCAACTGCTCCCAGTCATACTCTGTGCACCAACTGGCTGTACTGAAGCATCAGTCCTATTCTTAGAGGTGCAACTTGCAGAGAAATGATTGTGTTCACATGAGCAGGTACCATTATCCTAAAGACTACGTACATTGTAATACACAGAAATGCAAGTGCCTTACAAAAGTAGTAAACAAATATTCCCAAGCCAAGAAACTGCGTCTAAAACATCTCCAGAAGTGGTCAGTGCTCTGCTGTCCCTGAAGAATCGACTGTCTGGAACAAGTAGTGGGTAGATTTTGAGAGTCCAGTTGATAAGAAAGGAAATACCTCAGGCGTGGAAGGTGGGATGAGCAGAGTCATCAGATACTGAATGCTGTCCCAAAGAAAATAGAGCAAGATATGGCACATCACTCACTGGCACTCAGATTATTGAGAAGTTAATGGTACCTCTGTGCTCTTCCCTCCAAGAACCCTCTCAACTATTAAGTGCTTGTGGTGATTTTTCTGTCTCTTTTTCTTCTATCACTCTTTTTGAACTGCTGTATCTCTCAATACTTTAGAGCAATGGAAAGCGATGGAAAATATAAAGGTTATTATTATGTCAGCTGTGAAGCAGCAAGAAAATTACAGAAGAATCTAGAAGTAGCCATCATTCCATACTGAAAAAGAAGAGGTTGGGTTGTGTAATGGGGGCAAAAACCTCATTTAGCCCGAGTTCCTTTCAGAAGTCTTTAGCAAGACATCTCTTAATGTGAATCTGAATAAAGTCAAATAGTTCACTCTTTTTTTCATTTGCTACAGTACTGGATTCATCATGTGGTGAGTTCTTATTCCACGTTTAGACACTGTGAAAGCAGCTAATCAGAGCTACAAAGACAAGATTAATTGGTGTTAATTTCTAAACAGTAGTCTTGGAATTTACTTGGCTTAATATGTGTAGACTTAAAATGATAGGAAATAAGTTGTAGTGGTGGAAAAAAAATGAAAATAGATCATTCTTATGCATGAGAAATAAGGCAAAATTGGTTAAGTAGTAATTTCTGGGATTTTTCTTTTAGATTCAGAAAATTGCTGATATGGATTTGTGTCTTATTTGGGGTCTATCAGAATCACCACCTTGATCTACTGACATAGGAAAACAGATGTCTGTTTTAAGGCAGACATCTCATACCTCTTGTGTTGGCCAAGGTGGAGTGATAGCTCCAGAGGTTTTTCCACTGCTTCTGTCTACCCTTTGATGGGTACATCTGAATTCATTGCAGTCCTTTGGCTTTTAACATTCGGAAGCTGGTAAAGATCAGTCCACAATTCTGCCATGAAAGCAGCTGAAAAGGCAGAAGCAGCAAACAGTTGAATGTCAGAGCTGCAATGTGCTTTTATCCTCATGGCATTCTCCAGAATAGCACGAAAAGGGGAGAGAAAAGTCTGAACTCGGGTTTGATACTGCATACATGCTTAGGAAAAAAGGGATTATGAAATCTCATCACCCCTCCTGCATCTCCAGTTAGCCTTCTAACCTGTTGAATTCAATAGGTGATGAAAGAGAGGAGAAAGTAAAGCAAGAACTCAAAGAAGCAAGGGAGATGGCAGATACTGCTTGCAGCTTGCTGAGGATGACCACCAGGAATATCTCTGCAATTTGTAGAAACACTGGAATCTGAAATGATCCAATAAATGAAACTATCCCTGCAGGAATAATCTTTCTAACTCCCCAGCCTCAGTCCACAAGGAGGAGGAAAAATACAGCAACTAATACAACTTTGATGTGTCTATATAAGAATGAAACATTTCATCTAAAATCTCTGCCAGTCTCTCAATTAGGTACCGGAGAAGCAGATTTAAGCTCCTGCTGATGGCAAATAATGCACAGCTCATAAAGAGGACTGTCTATAGTAGCTGCCATATGAGTATAAAGTTTAAAGAAGTTGGATGAAAATGTGTTTTACACAATAATCCATATTAGTCTGTGGAAAGACCCTCTGTTAAGTAACAAGATGCTGGTGCGATTTCTTCAGAAGAAACCTATTTTGGTCTAATTATGAGGCAATAAATCAATTTCAATATGGATTTTACTGAAAACGAATCCAAGGCTCTAAGCAGTCCACTGCAGTCCTCCTGTGGCATCCCTAATATGAAGGATGTAACTTGCTCTTTAAAATGTTTGCTAAAACCTAAGTCTGGGTTCTGGGTTTTCTTTGAGTATGCACCTGCAGAAAGGCACTAAGGAGGTTAGTAATTATTGTAAGATGCACAGTCAATGCACAGAAGTTGCAATTAAAATATACTTTATTTTGGGGAGGAAGCATCCATAGGGGTATTTGCTTTCATACCTCCCTTGTATTTGTCCTAACATGCTGCTTCAGGGAAGCCGTTCACCTGAGCCTTATGCTCTCAGAGATCCATGTCATTTTTGCACGAAGCAAACTGAAATCTCATCAAGTAAAAGCCCTGAAGTTTGGAAATAGTATTTGTTGTTTGAAATAATGCATCTCCCCATCCTTCCAGGCAGCAGTGTGTTTTAGCACGTTTCATCCATCTTGATTGAGCCATTTTAATAGGCTAGGTGCCGAAACACGACTTGGGTAGGTTTAAGTTAAAATACATATGGCACAGCCTCTGTGCTACTTGTCTGTGACAATTGCTGTTGCTGGGTTGGGGTTTTGTTTTTCTTTACAGACGATGTTCCATTTGCTCTTGTGTAGGCTTTTTAATTGGTTGCTTGGTTTTCCTTTCATTCGCAAACAACATGTTTAGGTTTTATACCTTTATATAGTGGTTTTATACCTTTTATATATACCTTATATAAATATACCTTTTATATATATAGTTTTTATACCTTATGATCCAATATTGCTGAATGATAAATACATGCTGAGTGCTTTGCGTTGTTTGATAAAGCTGTTTGTTGGCCGGGGGGAAGCGGTTCTTGGAGGAGGGAGGTCATTGAACTGTAGAAATGCCACTGGATGCTGGGCTCAGCAGGGAGTGAGAACCCCACTCCTGCCTGCTGGGCATGGACCAGTGCTTGCCTTTGCAGCCGGTGAGGGCTGCCCTCATGTCTGATGGGGACTGCGGTCCCTTGTAACCCCTCTGCCGTGTTTGTGTCTCTCTGTTAGGCTCAGAGTCTTCCAGCAGCGCTGGCTCCTCAGGGTCACTGTCACGGTTACATCAGCCTCTCCAAAGTGCATCTCTTGTCCCTGGGGTGACGGCCAGCTCTTCAGGCAGCGTGTCCTACCCTGAGAACGGGATGAGTGGCCAGGTGGCCCCCAGTAACACCAGCTATATCATTCTTCCACTTGAAGCTGCAGGGATACCGCCTGGCAGCATCCTTCTGAACCCGCACACAGGTCAGTACAATGCCCTCCTGCCTGATGCTGCCCTTTGGCGTTTCCAGTGTAATCTGGGGAGTTGACAGATTTCTTGTTTCTGGAGATACTTTCCTTGAGACACTTGATAAGGAAGCATGTACACATGGGAGTGACATTTGGCAGGGTGTTTTCTCATGTCCGCAGGCACAGCTGGGTTGGCTTTGTGAGGCTGTTGTGGCATGGCAAGTGGGAAGTGATACAAAGCCCACTTGTGCAGTTCCAGAGAGGATATTACTCTTGTAAAGTCCTAGTACTCCTTGGCTGTGAATCCTCTGAGGTTCTATTGATTTCAGTAACAACAAATACTTTTCCATACCAAGCATGCTGAGATTCGGTGCAACTGAAATGTAATGTCAAAGTCTTAGGCACTGTGCTTGACAGCAGAATTTCAAAAGGCTTAAAAGGCTGCATTTGAATTAGCACATCAGAGTTTGTTGTGAGCTCTGTGATTAGCCATGGTATTGAAACTGGAAATCTGCTGAAAGCAAGCTGTAACCTCTGCAATTAATGGTAGTTAGCAGCACTGTGGCACACAAGTGAGGCACTTGGAGTCACCCAGTGCTGTGGATGCTTCAGAAACTATTCAGCTTGAGCTGGAGAGCTTGATGGAAGATAAAGGCAATTTGGTACCTCCTCGGTCCAGATGAAGTCCAGGTTGCATTCTGTTACTCCCCACAGTGTTGTACTTTGCAAGATTAGATATAGATTAGATATAAGGAAGAAATTCTTTCCTGTGAGGGTGCTGAGGCACTGGAATGGGCTGCCCAGGGAGGTTGTGAATGCTCCATCCCTGGCAGTGTTCAAGGCCAGGCTAGACAAAGCCTTGGGTGCCATGGTTTAGTGTGAGGTGTCCCTGCCCATGGCAGGGGGTTGGAACTGGATGATCTTCAGGTCCCTTCCAACCCTAACTGTTCCATGGTTCTAAGATTACAAAGGCTCAGGGAGGTTGAGACTGTGATGGTTCTGCAGTGATTTGGGTTATTTCAGTGACTATGATTAGCTGTGCTGTCAACCTTAGCTGAGTTATTCCATGTTTAACAAAGCCTACAGTGTAGTATGTGTTCTGTTATATTGGGAGCTGAGAGTGAACTCCAAACTAGTTTTTCCAAGTCTTTAATGGAGCATTCGGGAGCTTTTTATGTGGAGCTTTTTGCTTCTAGCCAGTATTTTATGTCTCTTACGCCCCTGTGTTCCAATGTTTTGGTGCAAATACGTGAAGCTCACACTAAAAATACTTTTCTTTTTGGTCAGAATTCAGTCAAGAAAAACTGAAAATTGCAGCATTTGAGAAAAACATAGCCTTGACAATCCATTAAAGCAAGCTCTCCACAGGCAGTTAGAGACAGTATCTGGGGCTGATCAATACCCATCAGCATACCTAAAATCAGGCATTAGTAGTTGTTTGCTTAGATTCCAATGTGATACATTCTTTCCAGAGAGGTGACTTAGTAACTTGCTCAAATCAGTGCCTTTTTTAAAGCTTTTACTACTTACGTGTGCTTTTGTCAAGCTATTGCAGTATTGACATGAGAGTCTAAATACAGTCAGCATAAATGGGATTTGGGGCATTTTTTAAACACTCAGGGGAGAGGACAGAGTAGGAGATAGGCGTAAGACAAAACCCATCATTGCTGTTGGTTTGGCAGTTGGCAGTTCTGTCTGTAACACTGGAATTCCTTGGCCAATACAGAAGACAGCATTCTGCATGCTATGTGGTCCACTTCCACACAGAAGTCATCCATAATTCAGGTGATAGAACTGTCCATTTAGCAATTTACCTCAGCTAGCTCATGGTACCTAGGAAATTTTTTTCTGCTATAGGTAATAGTGCCCTTCAGTGCTGTCACTAGACCAGAGCACCTTGTCTTCCCTCCTAGCGTGCCTCATTGTGTGCAGAGGCATCATGGGGAGATCCATGTGCATTAGTGTGTTTAACATTCAGGGAGCAATTGGTTTTTGTGTAAACAGAATTTAGTGTTTCTTTCAGACTCTGTTTTGTTTCTGTAGCTCCCTTGTAACTACATGCATGGTAAAGACAATGGAGGGAGCAGTTCTGGAGTTGGAATTCTTGTCTCAGATGTATAGCTTCGCCCTGCTACCTGTGCTGGAAATCAGGGTGTACTGCAGTGTCTGCTGTGGTTTTAACATGCAGCAAAATACATGCTGCAAATTTGCCACTCTTTGGGCTCAGAATCTTTGCATCTTATTAGGGTAACACTACAAAAGAAGCTCCGTAGGGAGGAGGCTTAGATTGCTGGATGCTGTGCTCAACTATCAAAGTGATGGATGCTGTCAAAAACATAGCTGAAGAGAAGACAGTTTAAAGAAAAGGGGAAAGGAGCTTTGTTTCCTGTAATGAATAGATTTTCTTTCCCTAACACCATTCTTTAGCTCTTTCTTCTCTCCTTGCAGAGTGGCTACTTCCAGTCTTTTTCTCTCTTTTGATCATAGCACCATGTCCTTTAAAGGCCCTTGTTTCCTTTCACACTGAATAGTCACTGACTCTGCAAGCCCCTAATGGCATCCACAGATGCTGTCAGTATGTCCCTGCTCTGATTATACCTCTCAGCTCCTCCTCAGGTGGTGGCAATCCACACTTCCTTTTCCATGTCTATATAGTTTCCTTTGTTTCCTCTCTTCTGCTTTGCCCTTCTCCTTCCCCAGATGAAGATCCTTTTTGCTTGCTTTGGGAAACACCATTTATGTGGCTGTGCTGTTTTGCTCTGTTTCACCCACTTCAGCAGTCTGGTTTACCCTTTAAAGGATTCTTGTTGCCACGTTCTCTGACTTAACCCCTTTGACAATTTAAGAGCATTTACATTTCATTCTTACTCCTTTAAAAGGCATCACAATCTGTGTCCTTCTCTCTGGGCCACAGTTCATAGCTTACAAATGTCTTCCCTGTTACCATATGATCTTTCCTTTTCATTTCTTATTTCAGGGTTTCTTCATAAAAGGTCTATTTTTCATCTTTAAAAGCATTTCTAGACCTTTTCTCTTCCAATTCTGCCATCCTTCATTGAGACACAGGAAGTGCTCTTTACAGTTTCCCTTGAGCATCTGGCACAGGTTTTGGGAGCCTGTTATTCTGCTCACGCAGTCTGACTTCCCCAGTCTCCTAAAGTACTTCTAGAGCCTGAGACTCCCAAATCTAGGGAGTCTATGCCATTGCCACCCAGTATATTCACAGCATGAGATCAGCTAGTGGACAGAACTGCCCTGTGCTTTGCTTCCATTCACTCTAATGATAACCTTTCTCAGTGTGTGAGATGTGCCCAGTATAGTAAGACTTCATCCTCAAAGTCCTGATGCTCTAGAGATCGAGCAGGGTTTCTTTAGCCAGTGCTCCTCAAATGTTCCTGACCACGATTAGTAAGAGGGAGGAACCGAAAGGCTGAGGAGTACCTAGAACAGGTAGAGATGCTTGTGATGTACAGACCAGAAATTCATTAATTCACTACTGCTCTCAGCCACCATATTCCTCCAGATCTCCCTTTTTCTCTCAAATATTCATACTTTAGTTACCTACATGTTATCACTGCCAAAATTCCTTCTTCTCAAGGAAACATCTGTAATTCCTTTGGTTTACCGATTTATGATGGAAGAGAACTGAGGTCATGGAAAACATTTTCCTTACAGAAAAATACCGTTTCTTTTCTGTTCATAAAACAATGACTTGGGTAAATTTATTTATATTTCCACAAACATTACTCTTGCCCAGCTGAAATATCTCAAGCAAGAGATGTTCAGCAACTTAGTAGAACTTTGGCCAGGATTTGTCCTGTCTATAAGAGATTTTCAAAGACAGCCTAAGCGTTGCTTCCTGATAACTCCCAGTGCTGCCTCCTTTAATTACACAGGGCACAGCTCTCGAAAGTACAGCACTATGCCATTAGAATGTGTATATCAACTAGTAATGAGGATGGGTTTGGATTTTTTTCCTTTCATTACAACCTATAATATATCAGGAGTAGTTGTGCACGTTTGACTGCTATTGCATGGCAATGAAATGTTCTCTACCTCCAGTGTTTGATTCAGAGTTCACTTTTAGCATTAATTGATTCATCATTGAATGATTCCAAGTAACCATTGCATCTGATTCATAGCCATGGTAACCTGCCACCCATTCCTTGGGAAGTCATACTGCCAAAACAGATACCTGCTGCCTGCTTTGTCTGCAGATGAAAAAGAAAGAAAGGAAAAGGATGGCTGATCCTCTAATGGGGCATTGAGAGTGATGAGTACTGGTATAGCAGGTCAGCTAAACAGCCATCAGCTAAAGCAAGGTTGCATGCTTTCACACAGAAAACATTCTCAAAGGTGCCGAGCAAAGGCAGGGTGCTCTGTTTCAGGTCAACCGTTTGTAAATCCTGATGGGACACCGGCAATATACAATCCTCCCAGTGGCCAGCAGACGATGAGGAGCCAGATGGTGGGGCAGTCTCAGCAGCAGCCTTCATCCCAGCAGCCTCAGCAGGTTCAACAGCCACAGCAGCAAATGGCAAGTCACCTTGTCACACAGGTAGGTGTGGTGGCCGTTGGAAAAAGCGAGGAAGCTCTTGTGGATGTGAAGGATGGCCTAAAGGGTAGGAGGGAAGGATGCAGGTAGATGAAATATCAGGATGTTCTTTTCTTCTGAAACAAGTGGGGCCCATGGTTTGTGTTTTCAATGTGTATGACATGGGTAGAGAGGGGAAGATTCCATTTTCAGTTTCATCTAAAGCGTGGTTTCATTTTGCAAAGGACTTTTAAGCAAGTTGGTGCATATCTACATATATTTATCTTGCAAAAATTGCCCACAGGTGAAAGCTGAAGCATTTAATTCTCAAGCTAGCACGGTCTGTAATTCTCTGCAAAGAGATGGGGAGCTTTCCCTGACCCTTCCAACAGCAGTGGGTTTGAGTCAAAGAGTCAAGTACAGCACAGGGCTCTGCAAACCCTTCTGTGTCCACTTATATGAGGCCTGATCTATGGGAAGCCCCCTCTCTGTGCACCCCTGCCCAACGTTGTGGGTCTTCTGCCTGCACCCCATGCTCTGGCCGTGACCCTGCTCTGAGCCACAAGCTCTGGATCTACAGAGCAGCATAGCTTGGGCACGTGCCATGGTGTATCAGCTCTCTGGCCCCTGGCTGAACGTGACACGTGGCCAGATGTGCTTGAGTATGGTCAGCATCTGCTGCAGACTTAATTTGATGGATTGTGTGTCTGCTCTCCCAAAGGGGGGGGGAACTACTCAAGCAAGAACCCTACATCCTACTTACTCACAGAGCAGCCAGGATCTGCTGTGGTTCTTGTGTGGCTTTATAATGTGGCACAGTTCATCCCAGGCTACCCAGAAATAAGATGCTAAAATGTGGGGAAGTTGCTTGGATTTTACTGGGTTTGGATTTGTGTGTTTGTGGCTCTTACTGCATGATTTGGTTTCAGCAGTGTTTGAAGACAGAGGTAGTACCAAACCTGTGTAAGACTCATGGTAAATGAGAGAGAGATTAAACCAAAAGGAATAATAAAGATATTCCAAGGTAATAGTGCTGTAGAAAATTACACTTAGATAAACATCCACAGCAAATCTGTCTTTTGGTAACTCACAACCTGTTCTTTATCATTTGTTCCTTTTTTGGCTATTGTGTTCTGCCAAAGCAGCTTTACAGTCATTATTCCTTTGCCTATGACACCCTCATCAGTTAAATCAGCCGTTATCAGAATTCAAATACGCACTTACACTGTGCTGCTTTCTCATTTTATCTTTATAAATTAAATGTAGAATCATAATGTGGCTTTGCCTCCCATCAGTAATAAGGTGTGGCTGTGGCTTTATTTAATCTGGCAGCCATCAAATACATGGGAAAAGGCAGAAAAATCTGTGATAAAGAATAGTTTGGTGTAAGGCTAAGATGAAGATGAAAATTGCAGTACCTGACCTCTTGTACCTGGGCTGGCAATGAGCCGCTTGCATTTTCAGAGCTGTGTTTGAGACCTTTGCTCTCAATAACAGAGGTGGCAGGGGTGGTCGGTGTTATGTGTATTCTTTGTGCTTATTTTGCAGCCCGTTCAGGCAATGCAGCCATCTTCTCAGTCAGTCCAGTATCCAGCAGTTTCTTATCCTCCCCAGCACCTCCTGCCAGTCTCTCCAACGCAGCAGTTTTCTGTGGTACTGAAGATTTCTCCTTTCATTTTTCCTTTCCTTGATGTTGGAGTTGGGTGTGTAAGCATGAATATCCATCCCCAAGAGCCTCTGGGTGGCAATAAGAGCGGTGTCCCACATGAGAGCCCCGTTTGCCGTAACACTTTTGGTCCTGACTAGCTTTCCCTTGATTCTGGTTATCCAGCCTGGAGGATGATGGCAAGAGCAGGGCTGTCTACCTGGTTAGCAGAGCATCCAGATAAATGTTTTCTTGTGCTTGTGATAGGAACTTGTGTCTTCCCACTTTGTGTCGAGGAAGCTTAAATTGCTAACTTGGGCATTGGAGATTTGGGCTGTTCCCCTCTCATATCCATAAAGACTGGAGGAGAGAACTCCAGAAATCCTTCTTTTGTGTTTTATATTATTTTCTCAGTACACGAAACCCTCTGCCTGGATTCATTCCCTGGTGGTACTAGAGCACTTGGGAAGCAGAGTAGTGGTGAACCGGCTGCAGAAGGTGCGGTACACTGTGTGTCCTGAGAAAGCACCAATGGACACATGTAAGAAAGATAAATAGAGTGCTCTCCTGGAGCCTGCATCTGGCTTGGTGCTTACTGATCTAACATTATGCCGTTGTAAAATGAAGCTCACATTTGAAGAGGCATTGCAAGGTTCCTTTTTTAATGTTATTTTTTATTCTTGCTCTGGTAATCTTGTTTATGACTGGTATTATTTTTCCCAAGGTAGAGATGTCATGTAGTTATAGTAAGAGATGGAAACAAAGCTGAGTGGATCCTTGCAGCTAAAAGAACGTTATTAATGCCCGGTGGATGAGCAGTACCATTTAAAGGACAATAAAAAATGGTCCATGCTGAACATAAGTTGCATATCTCAATGCTAATTCACTCAAAAAGCGTCTTGCAGGCATCTCAGGTTGTTCTAGTGGTAGTCATAGGAAGGCTGATATTTTCAGTGGCTAATTTAATAGCGAAACTTCACCTGAATTAATGTCTTCAAGGCACATTGCATAATACACACAAGGTATTAATTACAGGGTTTTGAAGCTTAGTCTCTCTTGTACAAAACCAGAGACATTCCAGGCTCAATGAAGGGTTTGTTTGCAGTTGCTCACCATCCAGGTAGCTTTTATAAGAGACTATTTCAGGCAAACAGCTTCTGTACCTAAATATGGATGCAGGAGGATGGTGAAGTTAATAGCATTGCATTCTTACATCACCTGAGGGTGTTTGAAATGTTCTCCCATGGTGTCTGCTCTCAGAGTGGGAGGTTAAGTCAAATAGCATGGATGTTCTAAGTGAAAAGCCTTTTTGTAGTGCATATTCCCTATCCATGAGGGCGTATGAGGAAGGGACCATAATCTGCATATCGGCACGTAAAGGAGTTTTATGCTGGATTCATTGTGGTATAGAGTATGTTGAGTATTTAAAAGTCTTGTGATACAGATACAAGTGAAGATGCATAGAAACATGTCTGTAAATCTTCAACCTTCACAGAATAAACTTGAGAGAGTTGATTAGTATGGATCTTTTTGCAAGACTGAAGAGATACTGTCTAGAATCCCTGTATCATTACCAGCACTAATGAGCCTCAGGTCCATTGACTTTACTTGGTACTTTCATCCTGCCATTTATTTCTTTTCCCCTTCAGTCAAATAAAGTACTTGTTTCTTTCTAGCGCTGAATAAAAAGCCTTAAAATAGCATCTAAAGGCTCAGCTTTTTTTACCTTCTCTGTGTTTACAACCTTGGGTTTTCCAAACAGCCCAGAAAGGTAAAGGTCTGCACCTGAATCCTACTGATTCCCTCTTGGGATGGTTTTGAAACACGGGTGTCATTACCAGCCTGTGTTTGGCTGAAGAATTCAGTGTGTGGAGGAAGAGGTATTCATAACATTACTGTCATGCCCTTTATATTCAGGATGTCTTCTTTTGAACACTGTAAAGTTCACTTGTCACTTTGGAATAATATGGAGGAGCAGGGTAAGAGCCAAAATAATTGGCTTTTGTGCCATGTGGTGCCATTCCCCGTGCAGTCTGGAAGTCTTCTTCAAAGCATTTATAGTGATTCTAACTGCCTCCGCTTTTATGGATCCCCCTGCAAAGTTTGGTATTTGAGCCAAGTGATTCCTTTCCCCCTTTGTGTCCTGTTTGAGCCTGTTTTGTTTTGCCCATTTGCGTGCCTACTGCAGACATCATGCCTGCATCATCTTCTACTGCCTTTTGCCCTGCAGCGAGATGACATGACAACACAGTTCAACCAGATGAGCTTGAGTCGTCAGTCATCAGGAGACAACCCCGAGTCGCCGTCTGGTCCTGTGTACCCATCACCTATCTTGCAGCAGCCTGCCCAGCAGACGGGTTACATTATGGCTTCTCCAAGTCAGCAGCTTCCCCCAGGAGGCTTTACAGGTTCAGGTCCACCAGGATCCCAACCAGTGCTGCAGCCACCACCTCCACCCCAGGGCTTCGTGCAACAACCACCACCACCTGCTCAGGTACGCATAGCCCTTGCTATTGGTTTGGCGTGTTGCTCATTATAACAGTTTTAGGTAGCAGGACACTTGCAAAACCTCTGTCATTTCCTGGGTTTCAGCAATTCCTTCCTTATCTTCACACCATTTTCTGAACACGTGTTTGTACTCCAGGACATGCCTGCATATATGGTAAGGGAAGAGTTCCCCTCTGTCAGGGCGTTGTGTTGGCGTTCTGACTGGCATAAGTGTTCAGATTATGAACATCAATTTCCAGCTCAATTAGAAATGTAAGATGGGGGAAATAATAAAAAGGGAAAAAAGGATTTGTGGATATAGAAGTTTCTTTATTTTAAAAGTGGTTAAAGAACTGGGGGAAGATCTTGGATGCTATTCTGTTCTTACCCTGTTTCCCTATCCAAAGTACAACTAAGATAGCACTTAGGGACGTGGTTTACAGGTGGACTTGGCAGTGCTAGGCTTACAGTAGGACTCAATGACCTTAAAGGTCTTTTCCACCCTAAATGATTCTATGAATATGAAGGAGGTGAATAAATATCCATAGTCCTTTTTCCCTGTATATATACACCAAAAGAGCAACACTCACATCAGCCCAGGTAGTCATTAATCATATTTAATTGACTTGAACATGTGAGATGTCACAGATCAGTAATTTTAACTGTCTTCCTGAAGACTGATTATGTTTTACTGTTCACTACCAAACATCTCCACTTGTCTCCTGGGTACCTTTACGGAATATTGAAAGTGATTACTGTCAAGAAGTAAAATGCACAGATGACTTTCTGGCCCATTTTCAAGGCATACACTTTAAAAAGATGAATTTCTTTATGCAATTATGGGTAACTTCATTTAAACTCTACTTTCAAACGGCATTAATAGTATCTTTCTTGGTTTCATTTTATCCTTTGGAAGAAAACATGAAAAATAAAGGAAAAAGAAATCACCATTTCTTTTAACGTAGAAGTAGTGTAAATCCTACTGGGTTGGTTGTTGGCTGCTTCTTACTAAAAATCTCCAATTGTGTTTGTTAATGGGATTCTGTATTGCCAGAGTAATGAAGAATTTATACTGTTACAATGTTTTAAGTGAGCTAGAGATCCGGTTAATGAGATCACTAATTAAAAACAAAAGTAACCCGAGGACTGCTGGATGCTGACACCCCATAGAGGATGGTGATGTCCGTAGTTAGAACCTACGCAGCCATTTTTTCTGAGAGAAGGCTTGTAATAAAAATAATTCTAAGGAGCTGAAGTTCAATGTAATGTGATTATTTTTGTAAAAAAAAAAAGATAATATTGGTAGAAAAACATTTCAATGTTTGCCAAATGTAGCATGTTTTTAAAATATCTGGGAGAAAAAGGTGACCTGACAAGCAGATTCCATCTCCCCGCCTGGACTCAGCCTCCTTAGTGAGCAAGTGGAGGCTGGCGGGGCTTCTGTCCTCACGTACAACCCCCCCAGTGGCCTCAGTGTTTTCAGACATCATTTAATCAAACCTCCCGACACTCCCAGTGAACCGGATCAATGTGAGCACATCCATTTCATGAGCTGTCACTGCAGCAGACAAAGCGATAACGTTTCCCAGCCTTGCTGTATGGGGTTTGCTTGGGTGGGGGGGCTGCAGCATCCTGCATCCCATCCTGCATCTGAGTTTTCATTCAGTCTGGCATAACGTTACCTTATGAGGCTGTTTTCCCTCATTCATACTTGCTCTGGGATACCAGAGGTGAACTTCTTCAGAGGACAAACGATGAGGAGGTGTCTTTTCATGTAGAGGATGCTGTAGGACCAGTACCGTACTGCTGTGTCCAATGGCCGGTGTGTCTCTGTACCCCAAATACAATATGTGCAGGCGCTTTCCTCCTATGTTATAACAAAGTGGAAAGTTGCCAAGGGCAGAAAAATATCTTTGGGGTTTGCAGCAAACTCAATTATTTCACTGGGGAATGGTTTGTCCTCAGAGGGGCATAGAAAGGCGAGAAATTCAGCGGTGTCGGTGTCTACTGCACTGCATGCACCATCCGTCTCCAGCTGATTGCTATTCTAAAAGATCCTTGTCAGATACTGGTGTGGAAGAGGGTGTGTGGGATGTCAGTCCCTGCTGCCTGTGTTCCTGTACTGTGAAATAGTGGCTTTAGTCTGCAGGGAAGGAAGAGGGTGCAGCAGGTCACAGCATTCACGTGCACAGATAGGAACCCCTGATCGATGTCTCCAGCTTTAATTCATTCTCTTCAGCTAGAATTTGGCACTTTGGTTTGTGTACTACTTGTGGCATGTGTACAGCAATGGAAGGTTCCTTGTGTAAAAAGATGTGCAAAGCCTTGGGAAACAGTAGTTCCTTTGCCCTAATAGCTTAGCTTTCTGTGTAGGGCACTTAGACCCCATCTCTCCATCCTGCCCATGGCAAAACTTCACTGTGGTGGTGGCTGTTGGCATTCTGCTTTACCTTTACTGTTTTGGGCTTAAATGCAGTAGTGAGGCTGCTCAACAAGTGCAGTTAAGATGGTAATGCGTGCAAAACATTATGTGATGTATTCATCAGTGCAGTCAATGTAAAAGCACTTCTATACCTTAAAAGTTGCTATTGAACTTAAATCAGTAAAAAAGAGGCTTGACTCTAATGGGTAATTAGTTCCTGCAAATGCATTGCTGATAAGGTTCTAGTGGGCTGGCTGTGGTGTCCTGTATGCTGTTGGAAATTAGTAGAGGTCCTGTGAGTGTGGTCATTTCCTTTGAGATCTTAAAGGAGGAGAAAGAAATGCTCTCCAAGCCTACAAACCCTAGGGTATTGCATTTAAATGATTAGGGTTTGTATTGAAGTTCAATTAAACATGGCTCTATGGCTGCTCTCCAAGATTCTCTCTCCCAGGCTGCATCAAAGCAGCATCAGGCTGAGCTTGAAATGAGATGCCTAAGAAGTGGCAAGAGGACCCCTTACTTTCCTTTTGCTGATTCTTTCATCACAGCTATTCCCCAGCTTGCCGACAGAGTAATGATTTAATAACCTGAAAATAATGACCTTTGCTCAGCCAGTAGGAGAAAACCAACAAACATCCAAACCAAAATGAAACAAACAAACCTTAACCATTAGCCAGGGTTTGCTGAAAGGGACTTTTAGAAACTAAAGCCTGTTTGCTTTCTATATCACAAATAGGAAACATACATCTTTACTTTCTCTGCATTCTTCTATTTGCAATTTGCTTCTTTGACATATACTTCTGTAATACTTCTGTAACACTTCTGGGCCCAGGCACTTGAACAAGGGTCCACATTTGGGTTTGGCAGCACTCTCTCCGTGGTGCTTGTCATTGCCTCTGCAAATGAAGAAATGGGAAAACTCTGAGTACCCTGCCAATGGGAAAGGATATGCTCCCTTAAAAGTTACTTTCCCCATGGAATCATTCTTCCTGATAAGCAAACTGGCAATGTGATGTCCAGAAATGAGGTGGCATGAAGCCTCGGAGAGCCTTGGGGAAGTAATGCACATGTGCAGGTATTTTTCATCTGAGTTCATTTTGTGTCTTAGCTGTCTCTTTCCATAAGACCGCTCCAAGAGAGTCCCTAGCTACCTTAAGACAAAATCTTTATTTATAGCATGTCTCCTCTAGGAAGCTTGTCATGAAGAAGGCTGGTGAGTCACTGCAAGTGAATGGGTCTTAGTGATGATCTTAGAAAATGATATTGGAGGACGTCCTACAGTTGTACGCAGGCCATTATGTTATGGAGGGAGTGGAGGAGGGAAGAGAAAGGGGGGGGCAGGAAGAGAAAAATCCTTGAAGAATGACTGATCCCAGTCAGTTAGGTATTGGGAAGAAATGGTACCTCCATGTGTCTATGCATCACTGTGGTTTCTGTTGTCTTTGCTCCCATTTATGCTGCTGTTAGCAATAGTGTCAGCATCGCTAATCATCCAGAGGAATTTGTTAATCCAAACCTAACTGGGTATCAGCAATGTTAAGAGAAAACAGAAGATCTGTCTGATGTCAGAATCAAGCTGTAAGTCAGTAGGAAGAGAGTCTGGGGAAGTAAAATCAACCTGAAAGATCTGTGGAATCCTGTTTCTACCATGAGGAGATGTACAACATCTCTGTGAATTTAAGGGATGCTGCAGAGAGCTGTCCAGGGAGACCCAGCCTGGAAATGGGTTTTGAACAAACAGTATGTGGACAGAACAAAGCAGAAAGCCAGTGCTGTATTGAGTCCCTGCCTATCATCTAGGGACAAAGCACATTAGAAGGAGGAAGAAGAAATGCCTGTTTGTGCCATTTCATGAGTGTCTCTGAAGTGGTGTGCCCAGTCAGAAAAAGCTGCATATGAGAGAAAAAGCAGTATGTGTTGGAACAGTCAGCCTGCAAGCAAGGAAGGTATTCACCTTCAAAATAAGCATATCCAAGGGGGTAAGGATCATCTGTCAACTGTTTCTATGGTAGTTATTTAAAAGGAGGGATTTTTTACAGTGTCAAGGATTAACATCAAGAAACTGCTCTTAGACTGAAGAAGGCAGCATTTATCAAGGTGTGGTCTTAGAAGGGCTTTTTGAAATCTAGGATGACCATATAGTTGCGTTGGCATGCTTGTTTGTGTAGTAAAGACTTCCAGGTTCTGTAAATGAAATACGTTACATGAGCAACAGGTCCAAGGCTAGACTGTGCATTCACATGGGGAAGCAATTCAAGTCTGATGCAGCGTGTCAGTAGGCTGCTACAGAAACGTGATGGGTTTTGTGGAAGAGCACGTAAGCAAGGTGTTAGTAACGCCAATGCAATGAGAAACTAAAAAATTCAATAGGGTCAGGGCAGGTGGTGTAAGTGATACTGGTTATCTCTGATCCCTCTAATTCCACTGTACACTGAAGTAATAGCAGAAAGGACAAATAACACGTTTCGACTACTGACGCAGAGATGTACTCGAGATAAATGAAAGTGGATCCTTGCAAGCCCCTCAACCATGAAAGACCTATTTTACCCAATGTCTATGTTTTACACCAAGCCTTTCTTTTAATGGCTGACCTCTTAACAAAACCCAGGAAACCCAGTCAATTCCAACTACAAATAAATAACCCCAAACCAACTACAGGCAACAGCAACAACAAAAAGATCCCAGGAAAACCTAAACGTCTCCTTTGCAAGTCATGCATGTGTGATTAGTGACATATTCATCCATTAAGCTCAGTGAAATGATGATTTTTTTTACCCAACACTCCTACTACTGTCATTTTTCAGGCTGATAGATTGCACTCTGACAAGCTGGAGGCATATAGCCACTGTATTCCAATGAATTGAGAAAATGAGAGCAAGGGAGAAAACCCTTTGACTAACTGAGGTGTTAACTGGGTGGTAAAAATAAATACCTATTTCCAAATTACCCTAAATGCTTCAGCGTGCATAGATGGGTTTGTGCTGAGCCTATTCAGATCCAAACGTCACTCCAAAACCTATGTTCTTTAGGCTGCGTTTTAAAGTTAATACCCACAGAACCTTTCCACAAGAGATAATTCACATTGTTCTCATATGCTCATGTGTTCTCAACTATCTAGGGGCTCATCTGTACAAGGGAAAATGAGGAAGTTGAGGGTAAATCAAATAAATTTCAATCCTTTAAGTGAGATTAAGCTGCTGCCAGGAGAAGTGGGAGTATTTCCACAGGGGTTTAATATTCTTTGATTTGTAGAAGGTGGTAATAGAAAATACAGAATAGTTGCTGGAATGTCTGCTCTGTTCCCCTGCTCCAAGGCAGGATCAGCTCTTTGCACTGAATTTACTTAAGCTGAGTCCTCTCGCTTCTTTCCAGTCTGCTATAGTAGAGTCTTGCTGAGAGCAGTCCCCTTTCCACAAGATGAGTTTATCACACTAAACTTGCCTGATCCATAGTTTACATGGCTGTGATAGTTAAAGAATGATTTTGCACCTTAAATGTCTGGGTCAGCTTTCCTATACCTTGTGGCTTTGCTTTGAGCGAAGCAAAGTTCATCCTGGTTTTGTCCATTTTACAAAGGCATTTTGCTTTGGTTACTTTAGTCTCTAAAAACCCAACTGGCTCAAGGGCAGGCTGTAGCCATTACGTGCCACTCGGTAGGTCTGGAGGGAGGAGAGCTTACATTTTTCAATCAAAATGTTCTTGTTTTTCTGGTATTTGAAGCTGGCTGCTATTATTAGTGAGGGGAAGAGTTCCATTGATTGAATGGAAAATGAAGCAACCTTGAAGAATGAATTGGTATTCAGGCTCTTGATTGACAGGGGATGTTGACTGTCAGTCGGTCTGGGGGTTTCACTTCACCAACCAGACCAAATTCAGCTTGGTTGATCCTGACACTTTCCCCACCAGTTACCCATTCAGCAGTCTTCTGCTTGCCCAAGTAGCCATCCATACCCCCTTCTTACCTAGTCTTTTGTGTCTATGCCTGTGCTTTCTCATCTGACAGCATCTCTAAGTAACCTTCTAGTGTCTCTGTTGATGTCCTAGCAGTATGCTCAAGGATGCTATTACCTTTACTCTGCTGATACTTTATGCATGATCAAGTTGAATGAGCTGTGTCGTGAGCATTTCCTCCAGGCAAATGAAAGTGGCAAAAATAGTTCTTATTTTTGTATGAAAATTAAAAACCAAACCCAAACCAAAAGCATTTGGTAGGACTCTGTGCATAGGTCTGAGTAGGATAAATGCTACACACAAGGGGAAAAATAAACCAGTAAATTGTATAAAGAAATGCCTAGGGATGTAACAGAGAAGCGATGTTCAACCAGACCTGCATCTCTCTGCAGTTTCATGATACCGTATGCTGTCAACCTCTGTCAGGTAACTACAGCATCCACTGCAGATGAAAATGAAAGACTTGGAGTGCTTTGAACTTGCCAAAGGTCAGTGGAAAGCTGTTCAGCTCAAGTGTCTCAGTACAGTGCTATAGCAAACGTGCAGCACCAGTCGCCCTCAAACGTCCACGTTCCTCTGCGTGATGCGGTGATGTAGTACACCTTGCTCTATAAGACAATCACAACACAAAAAAGAAGCCCACCTAGCAGAACTTGCTGGCTCGGTGCTTACCCTCAGCTCCTGCAAGAAAGAAGTTACGGTTGTGTTTTGAACTGTAATTGTATTCACACCAACCTTGGGAGAGGCTGCAGGGAAACGTTCATGTAGCTGTTCAACAAAAACATGGATTTAATCATTGTTTCTTACAAGTGTTAAGGGCACCCTCTCTGTCTTTGCCTCTGTCTTGCTTCTATGTGTTTTTACTCCAGGCTGTGCTTTGCTGTGAATTGACTGTTTTTGCCAGAGTTCACTTCCTGGTCAACATGCTCTCTATGTGTACTGTGTTGATATGGAAGGTGGTGTTTGCATCCTCTTTTCTGCAGCAATTGCTTCTTTACTGTGATTTCTTTGGTACGTGTTTTTTATGCAACCTGTATGGTTTTGTCTCTTTCAATTAAATTCTTTTTTTTTTTTCCCCATTTCTTAAAGTATCTGAGAAGAAATTTGGGCATCAGTAGTCCTTTTCCTAGCAAAGCTAAGAAGCAAGCAGCAGGTTTTGAAGTGACGCCGTGCAACCCCCTCCTCCGATTAGTTACCACTAATCTGCTTGACTTGAACTCCTGCTCCCATTCCAGTTGCATTTGATGTTGTGAATCTTGGAGCTTTAGGGCCTGTAGTTAGCTGCTGTTCTCTTTCTTTGCAGATGCCAGTGTATTATTACCCATCTGGTCAGTACCCTACCTCAACAACTCAGCAGTACAGACCCATTGCCTCAGTTCAGTACAATGCACAGCGGAGTCAACAGATCCCACAGACTGCACAGCAAGCAGGTATTTGCATCTGTTACTCATTTCTTCAGCGGCTCACAGTGCCTTGGCTGGTGAAACCTCTTGGTTGTGGTTTCATTTTGAAACAGCAGGGGAGAAAGCTGGTTGCTGTTCTGTTTAAAAATAGCAGGGGAAATTACGACTTGAGAAACTCTTTGCTTGGGGATGCTGAGCAATGGAAGAGCAGAGGTTCTGTTCTTCACTACTGCTTTCCTGGACACGGTGTTGTGTCCTCAGTGTCCGTGCTCCACATACTGGAGCACAGGGAGGAGTGGGGGGGAACTGATGTGAGCAGTACAAGTATTTATGAGGCTCTACAAGGAGGGCAGGTTTGCAGTGATGGAGAAGGTGCTCCATCACCTTCTGCTCCCCCTGAGCCTGAGGAACAGCGCGGCGGTCTATGTGGTTGATGGCCATCGGCACCAGCTCACCGCAGAAGGGTGCAGCTGGAAGGGGGGCCGTTACACTGTAAGAGAGTGAGTAGCAGGTCTCACAGTGAACCGGTCTCTTTTCCTGCTGTGTCGTGCCACTCCTGATGACACCACATTAAGAGGGACACAGGCAGAGTTGGGCTGGTGCATGTCGGGGGTTGTGCTTGTGAAGGGGTCCTCACCTTTCGAGGGAATAAAGAGTTCTGGTCTTGGAGGTTTTTCTGTTTAAGTTGTTGGCTGTCAGTTTCTTTAGTGCACATCTCTCCTCGTTCAGTGTCTCAGACAGTAACTCCAAGGTGCAGGGGATGTTGTTTCCTGGTAGGGCTTGCAATTACAGACATGCCGGGTAGGACAGAGCGTTCATTGTTCTGTCTGGGTTTGGTAAAACCCACTCTGAATGGCAAAGCAGGTTCCCTGCAGAGGCCCCGATACACAAGTCTTTTAAGATGCAAGTCAGCAGCGCAGACATGAGATGTGAACAAGACTTATGGGGTCAGCCAGCCATCAACCTGTCTCTGTAATGTGGCTGCTGGCAATTTTGTCCACGCTCAGGGAAACAGATGCAGCAAACACAGCTATAAGTAAGCAATCGATTGGGGGTTTTGGCTTTGTTTTTTAAGCTGTTCTAATAAAAATGGTGGCATTTTGGTCAGTGTCAGTGGTGCCTGACTGTGTCTGCTTTCATACCTTCATCTTTGTACATCCCTGAGAGGGAAGAGGGTGAAATATTGCACAAAGGTCATCTGTCTCCTCTAGCTTCTATTACCTGACAATCTATACCATGTTTATTATCTCTATATAGTGGGTCTTTGAACCTCGGTGCAAATCAACCTAGATGACATTATCTGGGTCTACTGTGTTGTTATAAAGCCGTATTTATAAGTTTAATGCTACATCCATAGCATAACGGAGATTATGGTAAATGAAGTGCACAAGGGATGGTCTAAAGCACTTGAGTGATGTTCTGGAGAAGATCCAGCTGTTTGATCTTAAGAAAATCCTGGCTTTAAAGGTATATTGTAGCACAGGAGCTGTTACGTTTGGGTACAGACAATGCAGAGATGCAAATGCTAATCTTGTTTCTGTGTTTACTGCATCGTTTTCCTTACGACTCGTGTTTGGCAAACATGAGTCAAGGAGTTTGTGTACAGTCTCTAGCACGCCAGCCTTTCCCTGCAATTCACTCTTTCAGCTGCCTGCTCGGTTGGAAACATTATTTTTATCTCTTGTTTAAGACTGAAAACATTGTGACTACGGTTTAGGCTCCCTGCTGGGGTGGTGATGTTAAGCATTTAACTCTTCTCAGATCTTGAGACTTGGCTGAGAATAGATTCCTCAAGCTGGTCCGTCCCTTTGGGCTCAGATACATCCTTTCCCATAGCCGTCACCTGAGCGTATGATAGGCATGACAGGAAGCACTTTGCAGTTTTCTACAGGTCTTGTCGTGGAGATGCTGGAAGGATAATGTGTATTTATGTTCCACTGCATCCATGGGTATTTGGAGAATAGCTAGCTAATGTCACATAATTTATACTTAAATTAAAGAGAAATTAAGGCATAGGAAAGCGTATGGTTTAGTGGTGGACTTGGCAGTCCCGTGGTAACAGTTGGACTTGATTATCTTAAAGGTCTTTTCCAACTTAGTTGGCTCTGTGATTATTCATGCTATGATTTATTGCAGAAGGTTCACTGTATGCACTGAGACTCCAAAACCCCACATGATTCAGTGATGATCTCAGGTGGTTTCGTGCCTTGTGTCACCACATCTGCTTTCCTTAGCATCAGCCTCCCCACACACATACATTTTTCTCTTCATGTGACCTGTGGCCTCAGCCCCTCTTCAAAGTCCTCATCTCTTTGGGCTCCTCTTTGATGCTCTCACTGGGCAAGAGATGGTGTTTTGCCACTGCAGCAGATGGAGTGGTGGGAGATCAACAGAGCAAATCCCTGCGAGCTCACACTGCAGCCTTTCAACAGGGGAGCTGGGGAGCATCTCTCCTCTTCCAAGACACTGATTGCTATGAAACTTTGGACGTGTCATCTCTCTGCAGCTTTCACCTCTCAGTCAAATGGGGTAGAAATTAGACAATGAACTTAAAATGTTACTGCTATGAGGATTGTTTGGCCAAGTAACCTCACTACTTTTCCCTTAAAAAACACATTTTTATAAAGCAAAACAAAAGAAACCCTTTAAAATCTTCCTAGAAGCTTGTACGTGGCTGGAAAATAACAAGCAACAAGTGGGTGTTTCAGGCTATGGTTTCCCTTCCCATGTAGACTTAGCTTCAGACCAGAATGTGAGCAGGTTGTGCAGGAGCTGGGGTTAGCAAAGGGCAGGGAAATGAAGGAGGACTGGTGGAACAGAGAGCAGGTCAGGAATGGTGTGAATGGAAATGGGAGAACAGATGGGAAGGAGGCAGATGAAACAATGCTGTTGGAAATGCTCTCCCCAAAGACCTCACAGCACTTGCTGATGCTTCAGAGAGAGGATGACTGCAGCGCAGGAGAGCCCATGGGAGGCCAGGCTCTCTACCTCTACATACTGCCTGCCTATACCTGCTGGCTGGCATGCGCTGCGGTGTGAGCAGGGAGCCTGGCACCTCAGGAGGTGTTTTATTACCATACACAAGTTTGCATGCTTGGAGGAGCTTTTGGAAGCTTTCAAAGCGGCTGCAAGGAATTTAGGTGTTATTTTCCCCACCTCTGGGCTGCAGAGGTCAAAGTTTGATCTAACGCCAGCAATTTGTTTTCATTTTGCTCAGAAAAGGTCTCTTCAGGAGCGGAGCGATATTGATGACTTTTACAGCAAACAGCTGAAGTGAAATGTCAGCACAGCATCTGCGGTGGGAAAGGGAGCCTGTGCTCTCTCGTGGCTCTGCAAGGAGAGCGATATTAAGTTAAAGCGGCTCCAGGGCAGCAAAAAGGATGAGCTCACCTAAAATTAGATTAGGGCTCTGGCAGCAATAGATCATCTGGAGAGAAGCATGTGAACTTCTGTGGGGGTTTGGTTACCCCTCCTGCTGGTTTTTTTTCCCCCTTGAGTGCAGGCTCGGATGGGAATGTAAATGACCCATTTCTGGCATCAGCCTGGCACAAACAGAGGTTTCCATGAAGCTTCTGTAAAAATCTCTGCCGTTTGAATTACGTTTGTGTCAAGTCAAAATCACGCAATCCCAGACTGGTTTGGGTTGGAAGGGACCTTAAAGCTCCTCCAGCTCCAACCCCTGCCACAGGCAGGGACCCCTTCCACTAGAGCAGCTTGCTCCAAGCCCCTGTGTCCAACCTGCCCTTGAACACTGCCAGGGATGGGGCAGCCACAGCTTCTCTGGGCACCCTGTGCCAGCGCCTCAGCACCCTCACAGGGAAGAGCTTCTGCCTAATGTTTAACCTAAATCTCCCCTCTGTCACGTCTCTATCACTGCGTGTCCTTGTCAAATCCCCTCTCCAGGTTTCTTGTAGCCCCTTTAGGCACTGGAAGGCTGTTACAAGGTCTCCCCTTCAGGAGCCTTCTCTTCTCCAGGGTGAAAATGTGGTCTCTGACAGTGTGGTAGTTTGGTCTGTAAACAGAAATACTTTTGGGTTATATTGTTATCACTCATTTCTGCACTCTCTAACAGACGATACTTAACATCCTGTGACATGCCCAGTTCTGTAACCAGGCAGAAGAAGATGTTATTTCCGTGTCTTCATCTAACAGTACACTGTAAATTGCATGTCTAGCATCATCAGTATTTCATTCTTCAGTAATTACCTCTGTATTGATAGTTTCAAAGCTTTCACTCCTAGGTATTGTGTTTGAATAGAAAAATAGAGGTATATTGCTGATAAATCAGTAACGTTTTGTATTTTATTATGATAGAAATAATCAGCAATGGGGTCTTTTATACTTCTGTATCTATTTTCTTTCAGTATAACAAGTGCTGTGCACCGCAAGGACGTTTCATCTTTAATGTGCTTCATAAACATGAGTTGATAAGTACATGAGCATTACTTTGGGATATGCAACTGGTCTTATTGCTGTTCACAAATGAACAACCTGCAACAAATCATGTGATTTTTCTCCTGCTTTGGTTCATCGTTCTATCTCCACCTTATGTGTACCAGATAATTTCGATGTGCACCTTATAGATTACAATAATACTTAGATCCTTGTTTAAGGATTTAGGTCATGGTTCTAAAAGGCAGTTAGCTTGGTTTATCACACGGTTGTAAGGTAAAAATCTGGGGTGTGTGTTTTGCGTCAGGGATGAAGATCATCTTCTGAGGAGATTAAAGCTAAGACTTGTAGTACTTTGGTAAACCAATCTTCCAGCCAAAGGTTTGCATTACAGTGTTTCCAGAGAAAATAAGATGGTATTTGGCATAATGGGATGGCCTGTCACTTCTGCAGTTAATGTAATGATTTTAGGGTTTCCCGTGCATTTGAGAACCCACAAATGTTGCCGTTATAACCTGTTTCAGTGCCCAGATAGCATAAGGCTCAAATTGCATAGGAAATCTCTGCTTTTTTCCTAAAATTCCAGTTCTACTTGGTTGTGTACGGTAGGCAAAGGAGGCTGTTACGTGAGAAAG